CGTGTTTCTTCTCTTTTAGCGGGTTTTTTTTTTTTTGGGGGGGGGGGAGGGGAGGGGTGAGATATTTTCTTCACTTTTGTGGATTATAGTTTTTTTCTAGATGTATACTGTATATTATTTCTGCACTAGTCTCAAAATGCACCAGTGGGTTAACAGCAACACGAACACACTTCATCTGGCAGAAAACTGAAGTATCGTAGCTTGTGTGATGGTGCTTTAAATATAATTAGATAGTTGCCTTGTGTTTCTTGATGCGATCTCAGTGTTGGAAAAAAAAGTCAATTTCATGAAATAAAATAATTGACAAATTTTTGACACTTGTCTGACTGAGAAAGCAGTGAAACAAGCAGAATTTGCAAAAAAATACACAAACACATACAGCCCCTACTGCATGTATATGTATATACGTTTGTATTTCTACAAATTTTAAATGATATTTTATATATATGTATACGAGTGTGTATGTGTGCATGTGTGTTAAAAAAAAAAAAAACATACGATCTAGAGCAGAAATGCAGAACTTACTTTTACTTACTTTATCAATCAAGGATTTTCTATGAAGCTATGGATTCTTGCAGACATGTGCCGTTGCTCTGAGAAGACTTGGGAGATGCTGGAATCAACGCGTATAAAGTCAAATCTGTGCCTTTAAAGTGGGCCAATTTACTGCTTTTTAGCATCCCCGTGAGACACTAGTCATCTGCTGACTCGGGAGAAGTCAGAGACAAACGGCTAGAGCACCAGTTCTGGCCACATAAAATTACTAAATAGAAAAAGTGAAACCATATGGCAGAACCCGGATGTGTAGTAGCCTCACCTTGCTGTTTCACTTACGTTTGACAGTGAGAGTTGGGATTAACGCACCTCAGTCCCTGTAGCTGCTGACCTTTCCTTCAGCTCTGGTAAAGACTGTTGCTTTTTTTTTTTTTTTTTTGACACCAGCTGGGCAAATCTAAGGAAGAGAAATAAATAAACATGAAAGGCCTGTCAAAGACAGTCAAAGTAAAAGGCCCGCTGAAACTATTAATAATATTGTAACACTTTTATAGCTCTGTGCTATTTAAATAGACTGTTCCTCATGTTTCAACCTGTATCAGCAACTGTACAATAACATGCTGCTACTGCCTCCTTAGGCTAAGCTAAGCAATGACAAACCTAACTTATGTCACATCCTCATTATCCACAGACTCATACGTTCAGCGCTCCACTGCACAGAGTCTTAAAAATAACAGCCACCCTTGTCCCGCAAAGAGCTGGACGCTGTCAACAAAGGCACGCCAATGCTTGCGTCTGAACTGAGCAGAGCTTAGCAACATAGCATCAACACCCTACCCTGTACAGCCCTCAAAGGCAATGATCCTGTACAATCTGTGAGAATTAATTAGGT